CCTATTCAGCACTTGAAGGAAGGAATAATCTTCGCCATATTAGAATGTTAAATTAAGGGTTCTCACAAAATTATTGGTTACCATGGAAATTCTGTAATTTGGGAGGAGTGGGATTTACCCATATGTCTGTGATGTGCCTCACAAAGAAGAATTAGTGTATGCCTTCGATCGCTGAATGGCAAGACTCTGCCGTGCATAAAAAGGCATGGAACGACTTGAATGTGATGGCGAGTTGAGATGTGGTCTAGTTACTTTCAGCGAGGTTTCTTGAGCCGCAACCAAGATATTATGAACCTTTTATTCGGCTAACGTTTCTGTGGTCTAGACTTTTCTTTCTCGTCCTTTTCTTCTCGCCTTTATTTTTTCTTTCTCGGCTTTTTCACTAGAGAATTGTTCTGACTGAAAAGCTTAAACACCAATGCCTATTTACCTTGATGTTGGTGCATGTCTGTCAACTCCTTATGAGGATGAGATCGCGACGTGGGTAGGGATGCTGCCAGCCGTTGGCGTTTTTCACAGTACTGAATTCTCTAAAGCTGAAGTAGTCTTTCATCTTCCCCAGGTCCGTTAATTGCGTCCCGTGCTGTCTAGCGGGGTAATAACACTGAATTGAAGATTGGCTTGCTCCCGTAGCTCGGAATACACGGCAGCTATACATCAGAAAGTCTCATATGGAAATCGCAGTGGTTCCAACGGCTCGATAAACATGGTTTTTTGAGCTCGCAGTCTTGCATATTGTATTATTTGGTTTAGATTAATAAGGCAAAGCATATGGCTAGGCTTGTGTATGCTTTCTAAGGCACCTGCAAAGTTAAATCGGTTCGAAGAAAGGCAGTGAAATTATGCAAAATACATGGTATTCAGTCTGAGCCGAATGTGTTTTCTTTTCAGCTGAATAATTCAGCTGTACTAAAAACCTGGTAGATTTTTCAAACAGCTCATAGAGTTTTATGAAAAACGAAAAATTGTCAGAACAAGCGCAAGTACGGCTAAGGCTTATTTTGGGTGTGAAACCTTGAAATGCAGCGCGTTCAGAAGAGGAAATACCCCCTTATCTGCCGTTGAATCGCCAAGTAGCAGGAGAGCGCCGTCTGCTGCATCGTTTACACTCGCAGACTTTTTTGTTTACTTTTTGCATCACAAGGTGTTAGCACAATCTGTAAAGTCATCACCTCGACGTTCCTTATCTTTTCTTTATTCTGGAATGCTTTTTTTGCAGTACTTTTTTCCTTGGAAAATTGTTTACATCGATTGTTTACCACAATGACGGTCGGGGCTTTCAATTTTACAGATTGCTCCATTATTCAGTCTTTTTGTGATATTTTGGCTTTCGGCTGATAAAAACGTCGATTAGTTCCTATTAGTATTCCTGACAGCGAATTCCTTCTATTGTCATTCTCGTCTGCTGAATTGGAATGGCTGATTCGGCACCAGACCGGCTCGCTCGCTCCTGGGTTTCCGCTTGAGTGCGCCTCGCTGGCGCAGTCGTTTTTGCTTTCATGTGTCGTTTGCCGTCATGGCAGTGCTGTTTTTGAAGATTTTTTCATTCTCTATGTTAATACTAATTTATATTTTTGATATCATGCAACCACAGAAAGTGATTTGATTTTTCCAGAAATCGAAAAGAAGCATGGTCGTAGAATCAGATGCATCGTACTATAGACGCTAGAGTGCGATGAATAATGAGTCCTTCGTTGTTTTGTTGAAGAAATGATGATCTCTGAAGTTTGGAATCCAATACTTTTTGCTCAGTTTGATATTTACTACTTTATTTCCCATCCAATTGGCACAGTAAATCATGATGAACAAAGAGGCTTACATACAGAGAATTTAATGTTTTTTGTAGTCAATGAGCCCGTTAAGTTTTTCTGACCGCTTCTCAAATTTTTCAAAAGTAATACATGAAATGACAGTTCTTCCCAGCAAATTTTTCATGGGTAGAAAAAGGTAGCGCGAGTTGGAGGGTACAGCAGCCAGATGAATATTGGGTGGTGTTGGCGCGCGAACATGTGCAAAGTCAGAGAGAGATTGAGCACAAAGAGAGGTGATGGGCGAGAAAGCACAGCAGATGAGAGAGCGCAGACATCACCATGTTGCAGATAAGTGGAAGTGGAAGCAGTCAGCGGCTTAAGCGAGGCTTTAGTGCCCTTTCTGTGCTTTATAGAGCTAGAAGAATGGGTCATCTTCGTGAACAGTACTGTCCTCCCCACCTAAAATCCATCCACATGAAGCCGTCCTGGATTGTGCTTTTAAGTAGTAATCAAATCTTCACAATTAAGCGAGTTAGAATTTGACCAGCCCTTGCTGGTGTGATAGCAACAATTCATGATTGGTAACAGCAAAGTGATGATTTATCGCGGTGACTTGTGGTTGTCACCGAGATTTTCGGTCACCCTAATTCGTCTAATAATATCACGAACCCGTTTGGCTAGTATTTGAATGACTTGAACAATCGCCGTCACTGTGACTCCACCCAGCCTGCTCCAACCTCTTCTGATTTGACATCATGGATTCTATTCTTGGCGTGAACCTTCTGAAAACTGTAGCCATCGTGATCACAATCTTAAATGAAAGTAAATGAGCTTATCTGTCTCATTTTGTGAGTCTCAGCGGCATAAAATGTTGGCTTGCTTTGATTGTACCTTTTTAAGCTCAATATCCATGTGGGTACAAGTGGATTGTTGAAATTCGGTGAAGAATGTAAATAATAACTTGGCCCTGCATAGGCAACAATTTTTAGAGAACAGCTTATTTGTGATAAAAACAGAACCCAGAACTTCTAGGGAGATGCCTTGTCTTTTTAGCAAGTGCTGAATTGCTAGTTTTTGTTTCACCTCCAAGGTTTAGTGTCCAAAATATCTTTTTCTGAAACGGATTTAGATATAGTTAGAAGCTCTTTTATACTTTGAAACAGTTAGCTTCAAATCCTCTAATGTTGTAAAGATTGGATTTGTGGTTTGATTGTGAGTAATTATGAGCAGTATTGAGAAGTGGTAAAGCGAAGGTTTCACATCTCAAGTGAAACTCCTTTCCACCACTTGAATTTTATAACTTTTGTATTTTCTATTTCATTTATGAGCTATTTCTTCACTAAATTCGTATACGATTCGATTTAGCTGCATGCTCCTCTGCATTATAAATTTGTGCATCAATTTTAATGGTTTTTTGCCTTTTCCTGCGTTTTCATTTCACCAACCCACAAATGATCTCCGGGGTTTAGCAAAATAATAAGATCCGTTTGAGGAAGGAGCGATACGGAACGTTTTAATTGTTTTACTTACACAGGGTTTTTTTCTTACTTAGTCGCAATTATAACACTTTCTTAGGCCTCCGCTGTCGGTTTTTGGTAGATCAGAGGATGGTTATACACAGTGGTTTGCCTGTGAATGAGGCACAGTATCCATTCCGCTTTTGGAGCGTCCTCTGTTTGCCATTGTTTGTTGAAGCTTTTGTTATTCACGTTTCACATCTGTAGCATAAAAAGCATGAAAAGGATAAAGCATTGCGCCGTTGATCAATCCCTTTTTGGGATGCGGCACGCATTCTACTTCCATTTGTACATTCGTAGTGGCATTTGAATGCGATGTGGCCTATACAATGACTTGCGGGGGCCAGCCGATGTACAAGTCAGTGTTTTTTATCCTCCCAGACAAGTCTGGTACCAATTAACCGACCCCGGAGGGATGGAAGGCTTGGTTGGCCCGGGCGACTCACGACCCAGGATTTGATCCCCGGACCGCTCGCGTGGTAAGCGTGCCACTTGCCACTACACTTCCGCCCTACAACATACTATTAGGTTGTCTCATAAATAGTGTCGCTTTTTTTCAACCAAAAATTTTCATCCAAATCCTCATGCTTTTACATCGAGTCATATACCATTCGAAAGAGAATTGTCTGCTCTACAAAATATCGTGTTCTTCTTCCATCTATGTTCCATGGTTTTCAAATTTTAGGCCTGCGAAATGGGAGGTCCCGCCGACAAAAATTGACCAAACCGACAACTAGCTCTAACTTTATGTTCCCTTCGGAGAAATCAATCAATGATGTACCCTCTACTTACTCATGACCTCTTCTGAACATTCCACCCTTAGGTTGCCGAAAAAGGTTTGCCCTGTTTCTTTTCGAATTGGCCGACCGATAAGCCATGGCAATTTTCAAATTGAAATTCTTCCTCTGAAACGCTATTGTTTTATATCAACTGGTGTATCTTTTGTGAGCACTTCTTCTGCTCTATTCGCTCATTTGTTTTGTTTTGATGTTTGTTAGGAATTAGCTCGAATTTTAGGTGTTTAGGAGTAAGGTGCTTTGTCCACGAAAGTGACCGCATTTCTTTGAAAAAATTATCCTTGAGGAGATGAGAAAATCAACCAGGCGTACATTCCTAACTTAGTCATGACTTGTTCTTTGAAATTCTACTAGTTTTTCAATGTCTCGGCTGTAAAAAAATTTCGACCTCGATCTCAGGTAATGGTGCTCAACCGTCGAGTTCTGGTTGAAAAACCGGGTCTGGAAATGGAATGATGCGACTTGTTGGGAAACCTAATAGTGTAATGTTTAGAAGAGGTCATGCATAAGTAGAGGGTACATCATTGATTGATTTCTCCGAAGGGAACATAAAGTTAGAGCTAGTTGTCGGTTTGGTCAATTTTTGTCGGCGGGACCTCCCATTTCGCATGCCTCAAATTTGAAAACCATTGAACATAGATGGAAGAAGAACACGATATTTTGTAGAGCAGACAATTCTCTTTTGAATGGTATATAACTCTCTGTAAAAGCATGGGGATTTAGATCAAAATTTTCTGGTTGAAAAAAAGCGACTATTATGAGACAACCTACATTGCTTTGGTGGTATATAAGCAGCGCTTCAGTGGCGTTGGAAATTGTGAGGCTGTGGCTGGTGTCCTAAGGCTGTTGCGCATTCTATAATGGTCCCTTTGTGTGAACGTAGAAGGGCTATCTGATAAAAAAAAGCCTCAAGCTTTCCTCGTCCGCATCTTGGATGTGTTAGGAGGGGCTCTGTATCGAGAGGAATTAGCTGGTGCGTTTCACCGAGATCCGAAGTCAATAAATGAAGTTGCTCAATGGGATGAAATTGCACGAATTTACAGCACTGGGCGATCGCATATATGTGGTCATGGCTATAATTTGCTGGTTTTCCCTCCTTAATCAGTTTCTCGCTCAAGGTTTGTTCTGCCGCTCTGCTCTGTACTCTGTTTCTTACCAATTTGTCTCGAAGCTTCAGGGCCCTCTTGATGTGAAGAGCCTGTGAAGAGCTGCTGCTTGTGGCTTCATTTTTCTGAGATTCTGTTAGCATTAGAGAATTCTCTTCAAGCGTAAGAAATTAGGTCAAAGTTGCTGTTCGGGATAAAGCGTTCTTCTTTTGATGTGACCTTGGGCGGTGATTACAAATCCACCTTCCCTTCTAAACGATGCTGAAAGAAGTTAGGAGGGATTTTTGAGCGTAGCGCTGCTCAGTCTGATCCTGAAACGCGAGCGACTGTTGTATGTGCCCGGAACCTACCGGTAGCTTACCTTGACCGCAAGGTCGAGTTCGAACCCTTAGAGAACACACTCCTTTGAATTTAACAGAACTGCCCTATTGGTACGAAAAAATAGTAGGGCAGACCCTAGAATCAAGTTTCATATTGGTGATCAGGGCGTGGTGCAAAGTACTAGGTCCATGTATTAGGTTGTCAGGTGAGTTCGTGCGTGGAGTTCGTGCGATTTCTTAATGTTCACTGTGTCACCATAAAATAAGTAAGAATAATGTCATGTCATACATCATCAGTTCGAATTCCTTCTTATTTGAATTCTGGCAACATCACGATAAAATACTTTTTTGGTACTTTACAGCAAAACACCAAAGATGACATTCTACGCTGACAAAACGAACATCTCCGTGACACACTCTCCTTTTTGATGTAATTGTGACCGCGCCTGAAGCGACAAGAAATTCCAACGCCATAGATGGAGAAGGGCAGGTGGTGTAGTGGCGAGGGCAATGCTTACCACGGTCGCTGCCCAAGAATCAAACTTTGGACGGTGCATAGGGTGCAGGTCCCTGAGAACTACAAGGGTTGCGTAATTGGTACTTTGCGGGTTGCGTAATTGGCGTAATTGTGCGATTTACCTCTAAGAATGCGAGCTTTCCCAGAGAGCAGAAAATTACAACTTTGGGAGTCCAAAATGGTCAGCGCTTAGTTGCTTGGATATTCGAGAAGAACGTTAATTTTCTTCATAAGAGAGGGGGAAGTGTGACAGACTGAAGCAAGATCTTCCCTTGTTCTATGGTGCTGATCTGTTGTTTTGTGCATCCAAAGATATTTTTTTGCAATAACCCGATAAATGAACCGTATTTCGGTTGTAAGAAATTATGGAGGATAATATCCACGCGAGCTCAGCTGACAAGCTATTATGTTTATACGGATCCAGCGGCGCGCTTTGTTTTCACGTGGCCCGAGATTGCGCCGTTTGTAACAGCAACCCGAAATGAGGGTTATATCAGTGATCAGGCCCGTTTATTACCTTTCCGAAATAAACATACACAGGTTTCGCCTCACGGGAGTTGTAGTAATGTAGTGAAGCCGGAAAAGTCGAGAAATGTCAGGGCGCTTGGATTTCACAAAATGGTTCTATCCTTTGGAAGCGCTAGTTGTCAGCACGTTTGGACTTCCTGCTGTGGGAAAGTGTTTTCAAATCGCACAGATAGCGTTTTTGAAGAAAAAGCAAGAGAGGACGTTCATCAAGAATATGAGTCGCCGACTACTCGCTTATGAGACCGATCAAGTACTTGATCCATTGACTTCACAGGAAAGAGACCGACAAAGTTTCCGCAAGTGCGCTCTGCACCGTAACTTTGTTTATCGCATCGTTCAGCTGATGGAGAAGTAGGCAATCAAGCGTGCGAAGATGCATCCAGTCGGTTATACGACTCGCTTTCCAGTGGCGCATCCCTCTTTTAGTAGAGGCTGAGTCAGATATGGGATAATACGAATGAATGCAATTTGCCGTTGCTGAGCACCTTTCTGGTATGGCCGTGTGGGCATTTACTTCATTTGACATTCGTAGTGACGTTCGGGGCGATTGGCGCCTGATAATTGGCTGCGGGGGCCGCCGTACAAGTCGTTTTTGCTCCAGAACGAGGTAGGCACTATTTACCCTTTACTGCCCCACTCCTCGAGAACTGAGCCGGATTTTTATCGAAATTGGTCATTGACTGTGAATTTGGCCAGAAACTTGCCTTCGGGGGTAATTCGACCCGTAGAACACGAATATCACATTTGTTTACCGCTAGAACGCCTGGCGCTCGCGTCAGAAGCGCCGGCGCCAAAAGGCGCCAGAACATCTCGGATCCCCAAATTCGCTGGAAAGTTGTCCTCAGAGGTATTTTGACCCGTAGAATATGATTATCACATCAGTTTGTTACGAGTGAACCTGTAGCCTGCGCTACGAGCGCCCGCGCAAAACTGTTGTGATAGCGCCGGCGCCTGTGGCGCGGGCGCCAAGCGTTTTCGCTCTAAACCGGTATTATATTCGTGATCTACGGGTCAAATTACCCCTGAAGGCAAGTTTCTAGCCAAATCCACAGTCATGGACGAATTTCGATCAAAATCCGGCTCAGTTCTTGAGGAGTGGGGCAGTAAAGGGTAATAGTGCCCAGGATTCTATCCCCGGACCGCGCGCGTTGTAAGCGTGTCAATTGTCAATACACCGCTGCCGCCCGTCTGAGTCAGGCATATAAAAAATGTGTGCCAAGAAAAGTTTGATTGCTGATTTTCATGCGCGTTTTGAATTGACCATTAAAAATCACGGTGAGTAATGTCAAATTTTGTTGGTAGATGTTTTTTCCTCGCGATGTTACTCATCTCTCTGTTGTTGCACCTCTGCTAACTTTACGCCTATTCTGCTTTGTATCTCACTTTTTCCTTAGTCCTGCCCTTTCCTTCGCGTTCCTTTACGTTCTCTTGTTTTTTATTGAGCCCACTATAGCACGCGGGTTACCTGATCTTCAGTAACGTCACGCCGCATGCCGTTTCCCACGTCACGCAACAGTCTTCTCTGGTTATTTGTTTCAATCATTTTCTTTTAGTCTTTTTTTCTGATTTCAAAGTTCAAACTACAACTCACGACAACAACAAACTGTTTTCTTGCCTGTATGCCTACCTTTCTTCCTGAACTCACGGCGTTTGGATTTTCCCTATCTCTTGTCTCTTGACTTCCAATTCAGGGCTGAATTGAAGTAAGGGAGCTATCGCAATGTACACGGGCATCTTGGCCTGAGCTTAGGCTGTGTTGGGCGCGTCGTGTGGAGCACGGGCATAAATGGAATTGCGCACACACCCTGTAGACCCCCCAAAAGTTTGATCTCGTTTAAAACTAAAAGGGGGAGTTTGACGTGGTAATAAATACGCTGCTACCTCAATGCCTCACTGTCTTGCAAAGCCCTGAAAGTAATGGGGGGGTTGGTAGGGTTTCCACACTTGGACCGAAAAAAACTAGGCCATTTTTTGGAAAATAGCTTGATAAACACAATTCTATAGCGCTGAAAAGACTGCAGAAGTATGGGTCTTGATTGAGTCGCAAATGATGGATGACTCATTGGCGACGCAATGAAGTTGTGGGTGAGGGGGCAGGAGCAATAGAGTGAAGGTAATTGCATCTTGTTAATGTTACCAGGTATAAATTACTTCCAGATGCTTGATTGCTCTTCGAATAACTTACCCCTTGACCCTACCAGGAAATGCACACCTGCTCTCCCCCTCCTTTCGTAAGGTTTCTATCGCATTTCTTTGTAAGGAACTTTGTTTTCGTGTGGTACGGGAGTCAAACTTATTGTTAAAAAATTTTGGGTTTTGTAGAGAATTCATAGAAAATTTGGTGGCTCATCTGGCTCGAAAAGGCTTTACCTTCTGATCGACTTGCCCTCCACTTGTTCTTTTTTTTGAATTTCGGTCCTAAGGGATTTCCAGGGACCTTGAACGTGAATACCTTACCTTATGTGACTTATAGCTTTGGCAATAGCCATTCATTTACGTATGAGAAAAAACTTGCTTAACCTATTTTTCATCACGGAATTATTGTTTTCAGAATGGGAAGCTGATAGTGAAGCCAACAGTGCGGATGTCGTCGCCGTGAGCTAAAAAATCTCTGTCAACACTCAGGCCATCGCGCTCTCAGAGCTATTATTTTGCGCCATGTCGTCGTTTTCGTCGTCATAACGTCGTCGTAGTGGAATCCGTCCAATTTTCGCATTTGTCATTGAATTTTTCACAGCTTTCAATTGTGAACGTGTTGACACACTCACACTTGTGTAAATATGCAACAGTGATCAGCATTATTTGGGTATTATCAAATTGATAAAGTGTGATTTGATCCGATTGCGTTTTATTCTCGTCTGAAAGAGCTGTGTGAACGGCGACTATTTCCTACTGGTGATGCTACCGATTTACATCGTCTTCAGTTATTCCTACGTAAATTATTCTTTCCTCTTTTGGTTTTCTAATTTGAATCTTCGTTTCGTGACAAGAGGCGTAAACAGCAAGTATGTGAAGCGCGCGGTCGCGTTGCGGCTTTTGACGATACTGTATTCTGTGCAAGGAAGAGCATCCCTCTGATGAGCTTGTGTACTAAGCGAATGAAGGCACAGTTTTGGTGACCCCGGGGCGCTCCTACCGGCTGATTTCGCCCCTGGGCTGGTCTGTTGCTGTTTTACTGAGGTCCTATTGGGGCTCAGTATTTAAAGGTGGCAAACCAGGCGCTGAAAAATTCAGTTGAGCATGGATTTTGAGCCTTTAGCCGTGCCAAGTACTTCGCGTGAATCACACCTTTTTAATGGTAATAACCCTTTGATGCGTATTGCTTGAGTAAAAATGCTGTGTAGAAGTAGAGTGAGTGGAGTTACTTGCGATCATGTTTTGAGAGCGGGGGGGGGGTGGAGAAGTTCGCTCGAAGCAGGGCAATCCTATAAAAAAAAAAAAAACCCCTTTCTGTTTGGTGCAGTACGACTAAGCCCAAATAAGAGGGAGAATCGCCAGGGTGAATGAAAGTTCCGTCCTCCCTCAGATTCTTCTCCCCCGTGTTCAATGGATCGCTTCACAATGGCGATCGTACTGCGATAAGCGGGTAGCCGATAGGCGATCAGCTCAGTGGCCCGGAGCAACAATAAATTACCGTTGGAATCTTACCCGCCAATGCGTCTCGCCTAGTCTGACATGTACGATCACTTAATCTCAGCATCGCCCACTATGAACTGCCATATAGCTTCTACGCGGCCATACCATCGCCGTGACCGTGTCGTTCCGTGTTTTTCATTCCCCTGCAACAAAATCCTGGCGCTATCTCATCTCTATCTTCAAGTCCTCTGTGTCTTCGCCTATTTATCCTTCTTCTGTTTTTTATGGACCGATTTACCATAGGTTTCCATTTCAGGTTCTGGTGGCGATGATGATGGTTGTCGATGCCACGGGGTTGGCGCTCATCCCTTGGGATCGGCTATCAGTTCTCATCGTAGTGGGCGTTACTTGGTTCTTTAAGTTCTTCATAGTAGGTGAGTACGGTAACTGTTGAACGGTCTTGTGCTTTTGATTTATAAATTGGTTCAATTTTGATTTGGTTTATGAACTTTTGTTATATTTTTATTTATTTTCTTATATCGAACTTTGTGTAGACGAGATTTCAAACTAGAACTGTTTAGTACCCTAGGGGTGCTCTTTATGGGCTCGTCATGTGATCTGATCACTAGCCTTATTAAACAGTCAGTGAATAAACCTATCGTGCCTATTCGCTGTGCTCTTTGCTCTGTCGAAGTGGTATGGAATACCAAATGGTACCATCTGTCATTTTGTCGTCATTTTTATATTTCGAATAGATTTCTGTCGTAGTGATAAGAACTGGTAGGCTGCGTTCGAATTTCGAAAATTGAGTCTAGGGCCGCGTTCATAGTTCGCGGCTTGGCGATTGGATATTAGGATAGTAGTAGAGTAGAGATTGCGCTGACAAGATTGGATACGTATCGATTGAAATCGCTGGAGAGTAGTAGATTGGGCGACTTCAAGCGAATAGATCAATACATATCTAATCTTGTCAGCGCACTATCCTAATCTCCTACTCTACTACTATCCTACTATCGTAATATCGCAATCTACTACTCTCCAGCGATTTCAATCGATACGTATCTAATCTTGTCAGCGCGCTACTCTACTATCCTACTCTACTACTATCCTAATCTCCCCGTCAATACATATGTTTTTCATTGTCGCGTACTATCCTAATCTCCGGAGTCGCGAACTATGAACGCGGCCTAAGTGATCCCTGGAATAGGTAAAGCTCAGGGTCAATCGTCCCTTGGGGCACATCATGCATACTGAACGATAGAGGAGGGGGTTTATAGTCGGGTGATACTTTCCAGTTTGGTTTGTAGTTTGAGAGTGGAGTAGATACGTAACGATCGTGCGATCGTATAGTCGATACGTATCTACTCCACACTCAAACTGCAAACCGAACCGCAAAGTATGACCCGACCCTAATGTCCACGATTTTTGGAGAGAAAGGTCATATTTTGCTGAATTGAGGGACATCCCT